GGACAAGAGCTTTATTCGCCTGGCGTTTCGGATTCCTTCTCGAACCTATCATTAGACACAATTGCAGATAGGGGTGGTTCATGTACGGGGGGCCAGCTCTCAGATTGCGGCTCATTTGACGAGATCGGTCACACATTAAAATCCGACGAGGCCGAGATTCTCGCTAGAGGTGACAACCGCGTGAGCCGGGAACTGCTTGAGTCATGATCTACTGGTCCTCAGTCTTTTAACAAGTATAACGACACTCCACTTCCATACTCGGTGCTGAGACTTCGCCTAGGCGGAGTACTTAGCCACGCGGGAAGGACACAGGTGAACACTGTTCCCAGCGCCAGGTTCGGCGGGTCAGATGGTCGAGCAATCATCACACCAACACCCAACGTAAGCGATGAAATTGCCGCCAATAACGGCGCGAATATCGACCATAAAACAATTAGAACACCAAGTGCTACGATCGCCGATGAAGAGTGGGAGCCGTGAATACTCATAGGTATGAGATAGCATGGCGACTGCACCCTATAAATACTGCAGTCCCCTGTGAACGACTCACCCGTATCTGCTATTTTCTCTGATGATGGGTTCGAGCAGGAACCCGAAAAATTAGGCGAATAAAGCTCTTATCTCAGCGGTCGTGGCTCTTTCTTCACGACTGCTTCCTGCAACTCGGCTTCTCGCCCCTTTGGGCAACTTTTAGATCACCAACCGGACTTTGGGGCCGAAAATAAACACAAATGACGCAGATATATAAGTGTTCACAGACAGACCAACACGTCCTGCCTATGCTTTATATCCTAACCTCTCTGTGGTTACCAATAAGCATAAAATTTTTGTTTGTGACAAAACTTCGACAAAGACAAGCAGAAATTAACTATTTAATCAACTTTAACTAGAAGCGCTGCTGTTAATCATCGGTGCCTCTTAACTTTTATCTTCTGGCTCTATCAAATCTATGCCATGCATGTTATCCTACCGGTCCTCTAAAACCCAGAGGGTGGATAGGCATTTGTGTGTTATCAAACCAGTGCTTACCGGCTTCGGACAGACTGAGGTAGAGAGCATCCGGATACCCCTCCTGTGCCAAGCCCTCTACTGCTGAATCGATGGTACTCACGGCGTCCCATTGACGGCCCTCAGTGACGCGAGAGATATCATTTGCCTGTTGAGGAGAACGTGTCATTATATGCTCTGAGTCGATAGCCTGAGGGTTTGCCGCGGATGTGGTCACACGGACGGAAAGAAGAACAAGAGTAAAAAGCATGACCGCAGACAAAGTCAAATTTGTAAATTTCAAAGTGTCAGCGGTCAATGAGATCGCATTCGGACACCGAAAAACGTAGCGCATTTTGAGCCGTGTTCGTGTTTTCTTTCTGCTTACATATATATCGCGTGAAAATCGATGATAACCAACCAATATGAAGTCAATGAATAAGACTTCGTTGCGCGCATTAAGGAACGATAAATTTGCAGTTGATTGGTTAAGTGACGATTTGGGAAGCACGCAGGAATTTAGTCAATTTACCCTGATCCATTGCCAATTCAAGCTTGCTCGTAATCGCTTTCACAAGAAAAGCTACTTATGCATCCGAATCGTCCGTAAAAATACACTTTAATGAATTAAATTAACCTAAACAGAGTATGAACTATAAACGCAGTGCATTTGATCATCAGTTGAACAAATTTGTAAACTTTCCTTCGGGGTTGTACGTTTTTATTCAAAGGACCAGCAAGCACAGCCTCATAAACGATAGGTAAACAAGAATGAAGCTATATCTATTAAACAGCTCATCGTCCAGAGAAGCTAATGAACTAAGTTGCTGACAATTTTTCGGAATTCAGTCTTCGCCGTTTGGTCGATTATTTGATATTTCTCCGCAAACATCCAGCCCATACGCATTAAGCGCTGCACAGAGTAAAATTAAATTTTTCCGATCCTACGTATTACCTTATTTAATCAGCGAAAATATACTTGACGGTATTTGCCCGAAAATTTCCAAATGATGCGTTTGCATCTAAAATCAAAATGGTCACTTAAGCTTCGATTTTCTCATTCTGACAAAAATTAATACACCCCGGCAACCGACTGTTCGTGTCCGATCTTGTCATTTAGAACGATGCTCGAAGGTAGTCCACACGGAATGATAAGTTGTTCGGTTATCCAAAGTATAGCTTACTTAATGCAAAGAATGTTGGTCCATGTAAATTTTATCCTAGTAGACTGTACGAACAAATGTCGAAAGGACTTCAGTGAATGTAATCACACTGAGAAGATAAAACTGAAAATGCCCATGCTTTGCACGTGTTAGCCATAGTCTCGATGCCTACTTATTAACAAGAGATAAGGGTATGTTGTGCGGTTAAATCAACCAGGAAATCAGTCCGTGATGTAAAAAGTAATATTTTACCCGTTTGTTCTTCCTTAAAGCCTGCCGTTTTAGGCAGTTTTAATTACATACTTACTGCCCATTCAATAGATCATACGCGAAAATTCACCATTTTAATGTTCCTTACCGCGTACTTGGAATGTCTCGCTGAAAATTTTCTTCGTGATCGTGGCGACGATAGTGATTAGAAGCTTTTAAAGCTGACTGATCATTGGACGAAAATAGCATCGTTTTTTGCAATGTTATATGGCGTACATGCCACAATCGAATACTGGTTAATATCAGAATGCGCAAAGAAGTTTTCCAGGCGATCTCACAGAGGTGTAATTAAAATTTGACTTGCTTACACCGTTATCATGCTTCTTCTGTTTGCCTAAGCATAACCAGTTATATAATCTGCGAATTTTAGGAAAATAATTACATAAAACTTATACAAAATTCCTGTAAACAGGAGCTTTGGCCAATATTAGCAAGGGCCTTTGCTAAACTATGAATGCCCTTCATAAACTGATGCCCACACCTATGTACGAATTAGTATAATGCAAAAGGACAAGTTAGCTGACAAGCCAAAAATGGCCATTTCGGATTCTCTCGTCTACGTCGGCATCAAATTATTTACTTCTAAAATTAAGCTCTGTCAGACTACCCGCGAGGGTTCTATCATGAATGTTGAGGCGTAACGAAACGAGGACGTTCCGTAACCTGATCGGTGTGCGCCCATCCGTTGTAATGTATATGTATTTATATGCATGTATAAAGTCCTTCTTCGATTAAAACATGCGCATGCATTTGTTTCTGGTCCCAGCTACCAGTCAAGTTAATGATTGGCTATATAAAGGCAGAATAAGCCCGAAACAGTACTGTACCAATTTACCCACATTCTCTGGCGTCCCTTCTTACTGCTGTATATATATCTATGTAGAGCAAAAGTGGCATACATTCCAAAACGATTAATAAAAAAGAGGTTCGGGGAAAAAATCGAGCTGTACTCGGGAATTTTTGAATTTCTGACACCAACCCGTCCTCAAACGAAATGAAGATAAAAGAGAGAGTGAGATAAGTTGACGCGACAGGACAAACATTGACGGGCTGACCATTAGCGTGTGAGGAGTGATGCTGGGTTCTGAGCCGAGAGAGGAGGAGGGGAGGGAGAGAACAGATACGGCTCCCCTGTTGTAGGGGAGGGAGGATGGTAGGTTGGTGGAATTGCGGGCGCCTTGATCAGCAGCCGCTGATGCGGGGTGTAGATCGGCTATGTGAGGGGTGATCTTACGCACATATAAGGTGCGTCTGAGTCAACATGGTTTCCCCGTTAGTTTCGTGCTTCTAGGAATTCTCTCGCCCGTTTTGTGTTGGCCGAGGCGATGACCTCGGTATCATCCCAAATGAAACGGTTGTCACACTGGCGTACAGTGAGAATCACTCCCATCCCTAAAAAGCCTGATAACTTTGGCTAAATCTTTTCGCCCAATTGCCTGCTCCTCTGCAATACTAAAGCTTGCTGAAAGAGTTGCCCTAGATATCATAAAGCCTTTTTCTTCCAGTTTTTCCGACCCCTTACAATTTGCATACAAAGCTAAACGGAGTACTTTAGATGCTGTCGCTCTTGTGGTCCACTCTGCTCTAAAAGCATTAGACAAGGGTTTCCGCGAGTATGCGTGCGCTTTTCTTGATAACTCCTCCGCCTTCAATACCGTCCCGCGTCCTCTTCTCCTTTCCAAAACCTCCGCATGTGGCTCTCCAGGCTG